AGGCAACTAATTAATCGATGTGTTTCTCTCACATGGATATTTCTCTGTCTTTCCCTCTCTCTTCCACTCTCTCTAAAAATCAATGAAAAAAATATCCTTGGGTGAGGATTAAAAAAGAAAAAAAGACTGGAAGACTAGTAGTAAGGGGAGTCTTGGGGTTTGGTCTCACCAGTTTCTCCACTAACTTGCTGTGTGCCCCTCTTCTCCCACCAACAAGTTATTTTGTCTATCTGGACCTATGTTCCCCTAGATTTCAAGGGGAAATTTTGGACTCTGGCCTTCAGTGTCTCCCTAGCTGCATCGTGGGGCCCAAAGTTACATTTCCACTTACAGCAGAATGATGAGAAAGTGTTGAGCTAGTGCAGGGGCCTGCATGGGGCTGCTCTAGCAGCAAAAAACAGGCTGAGCTTGGTGGCAGTAAAGGAAGCCACAAGCCACATGGGTTTATTCTCCAGGCCCTGAAACCAAACAGACTTTGCCTGTGGACTTTGAAATTGCCTGGGACCAATGACTCTTTCTTTTCTTCCATTTTCTCTTTTGAACAAGAATATCTGTAACTGTTATGCTATGCCTGTCCCATCATTAAACTTTGAGATAACTTGTTCCTTGAGTTTCACAGGTTCATAGATGGATAACAATTGTGTCTCGGGATGAATTAAACTCAGAACCTTATCTTTACCTGATTTAGATAATGTAGTTTGGATGGTGAGATTTGGGACTTTGGAGTAGAATGAACATTTTGGATTTAGAATTGATGCTGTAATGTGTTGAGATTTGTGGTAATGTTGCCATATTTTGCACATGGACCAGAGACTGTACAATGGTAGGCAGAATAATGACCCCCTCAAAGAAGGCCATGTCCTCATCCCTGGCACCTGTTAATATATTATGTGACATGGCAAAGGGGAATTAAGACGGCAGATGGAATTCAGGCTGCTAATCAGTTTACCTTTCCATAGATGGACTATCCTGGATTATCCGAATGGGCCCCATGCAATCACCAGGGCCCTGAATGTGTAAGGGGTGGTAGTAGGGGAGAAGGGGAACCAGAGAGAGGGCAGAGTGAGGACTGGCCCAGTGTTGCTTGGCTTTGAGTAGGAGGAAGAAGGCCAGAAACCAAGGGATGCAGACGGCCTCTACAAACCGGAAAAGGCCAGGAAACAGCTTCTCCCTGGAGCCTCCAGATCAGTAAGATAGTAAATTTGTGTCCGTTTAACCCACCAAGCTTGTGGTAATTTGTTAGCGCAGAAGTAGAAAATGATACAAGTCCTGGCTTGCAGTTTACTCTTCTAATATCTTAGACAAGTTGTTTCATCTTTGCATTCCTTAGTATTCCTTATTTCTAAAAACAACAACAACAACAATAATAATAATAATAATTAGTATAAGGATCAAAAGTGTCAAAGTGCCAGGCACATAGGTGGCTCAATAAATCTGAATTTCCAGGTCCCCCTCCCCTCCTTCCAGGTCGAGAAAAGATGGGGAAGGAAATGAGGGGCCACAGACCATTCTCAGCAGTGCACCGTCTTTCTTTGATGTTGTCTGTGTGAAAGTCACCCTCCTGAGCTCCCAAACACACCTTATCTAGCAATGCTCCTTATCTGCCTTTGGGGACCCACAGCTCCCCCCTTCCTGGTGAAACCCCCCTTAGAACAAAACTGCCCTTTAGAGGAGCCTGAGGTCTGATCTATTCAGAGTGCAGTCAAGATGCGGAGTAGGTGGAAGCTGCACTCACCTCTTCCCATGACCACATAAAAATTACAACTGGCCCTAACCAGTTTGGCTCAGTGGATAGAGCGTCAGCCTGTGGACTCAAGGGTCCCAGGTTCGATTCCGGTCAAGGGCATGTACCTTGGTTTCGGGCACGACCCCAGTGGGGAGTGTGCAGGAGGCACCTGATCGATGTTTCTAACTCTCTATCCCTCTCCCTTCCTCTCTGTAAAAAATCAATAAAATATATTTTTAAAAAATTACAACTGAATTATAGAATGATCAACCTTGATAACCATCTGAAGACTAGCTGAACAAGTCCTATAACTAAGGATATAAGAAGCCACTCCAAGACTGGTGAGAGAGGCAGAGATGTGCATGGGGTGACCCTGCACCCATGTGTGGTGGTTGAGAATTGGAAGGGATCTCAACTGCAGAGGTCCCCAAGGAGCAAGGGGTTGCTCAACCCCATGCCAGAACACCTGTGTTAGGAAAAGGGCCCACATAACATCTGGCTATGAAAAAGCAGGGATTCTGTCTGTCTGGATGAGAGGGAAAGTTGCTAGAAACCCAGACACCCTCTTAAAGGGCCAGCACACCAACTCTCACTCCCAGGCACTCACCTTGGGTTCCATAGGAGGGTCAGAGGCTTGAGGAGCACCACAGACATACAGGGAGAAACTGAGTTGTTTGGCTTTGAGGCGAGGTCCCATTGACCCTGGGTAAGCCCTCCCCACCTCACAACGGATCATTAACCTGTGTTAGCCTAGTGAACATCACTAGGTCCACCTAATGGTTCAAAGGCCCCGCCCTACCCAACTCAACTTCTGATGCCCTACCTAGCTCAGGTGATCAGGGAGACTGGGCTTCTGGGCTCCACAGGCCACCTACCACATAGGGCCACCCTAACAAGACTGGGAGTCATAGCAGATCTACCTAAAACACAGAAACAAACAGAGAGGCAGCCAAAATGAGGAGACAAAGAAACATGCCCCAAATGAGAGAACAGGAGAAATCTTCAGAAAAAGAGCTAAATGTAATGGAGACAAGCAATCTACCAGATACAAAGGTCAAAATAATGATTATAAGAATGCTCAAGGAACTTAGGGGAAGAATAGATCAACTCAGTGAGAACTTCAACAGAGATAGTAAGCATAAAATAGACATAAAAATAACCAGTCAGAAATGAAGACTACAGTAACTGAAATGAATGAATCAACAGCACATTAGATGAAACAGAGGATCGAATCAGTGATTTGGGAAACAGGGTAGCAGAAGACACTCAATCAGAAAAGCAAAAAGAAAAAAATATTTAAAAAAAAATGAGGATAGTTTAAGGGATCTCTGGGATAATAGCAAGCATAACATTGCATCATAGGGGTACCAGAAGGAGAAAAGAGCAAGGGTTACTTATAACAGCCAAGATATGGAAGCAATCCAAGTGCCCATCAATAGATGAATGGATAAAAATGTAGTACATATATATAACTGAATACTTGAATTATTGCAGGGATCACTTTGTAAACTGTGTAATTACCTATTCACTATGCTGTACACCTGAAACTAATCCTATATAATAAAAGCCTAATATGCAAATCGACCGAATGGTAGAACCAGCGGAAAGACCGGTCACTATGATGCACACTGACCACCAGGGGGCAGACGCTCAATGCAGGAGCTGCCCCCAGTCCACAGGCCCAGACCAGTGTTGGCGGCAGGGGGTGGGGCCGGCAAGCGGGTGGCACCAAGCCAGCCAAGGTGAGTGCCAGCAGGTC